AGTGGTATGCAACATGGGTAGTATTGGGAAGACTTTGAGGCATCTAGGCCAGTAGCCACAGCGAATGCCTGACATTATACCACCAGCGACACTGGAACTTTTCTAGAAACAATCAAGCCCGCACTTAAAAGACACTTGAAGGAGAGGCGCGCTTTGCTGGAAGCTTGGTTGACTCCAGCAATGGGTCCAGTATCATCCCCGAACAGGAGTTGTATTCTCACCATCTTCGCCCTACGCCTCTGTGCCAACGCGCTTACCCGCCATACCTGTCCGATTCTGGATTTCGTTCTTCCCTTCGAAGTTTTCTTCTTCGCAGTTTGTCGCCTGGAGGCGCACCTTGTTGACTGCCATTAATGGGTTGTGGTAGTGTAAAGAGGGAGATGCCTGCCCCCTGCAAGCCGATTCGCGCTCTCTTCATATAACCCCATAGGTGGCCATAGAGGTTTCTATGTGAAGCCCAGGCCATCCCGGTCCTCGAATATTTCCCGTGAGAGTCCGATTCTGGATCGCAGCAACTTTGTACGTAAGTGTGGCCAGAAGCGACCCCCGACCAATGAGGCCAGTCGGCGAAACAGTCACCCTTGGCAGACCATTCCGCCAGAAAGAGCATCCTGAGTCAGGGGCTACTGAACTTCTGAAAGAATATGCCCCTGGAGAAAGGCCTTGGAGTCTGGACGCGGTAAATTATTTGACTATGATTAGTGGCGTATCGGCTACACACCAGGGGGGGACAGAACACAATACCACTCGCTGCGTGCGTTCAGTGTTTAAGCCAGGCACCTAGCTCTGGCGTCAACATTCGCAGAAGCGGTTTGATTCTCTGTGGCGATGGGATGGGATCAGATGAGCGTTGCGGATTGAGAACCTCGATAATGTCCGATGCGGTCAGTCTCAGCGTCGCGAGAGCACAGACAGCACTGTCGTTGGCTGTTGCGTACTGACACTTGTACTGAGTGTTGAAAGACTCGATGAAGTGGCTTTCCTCTACCATCCACGGCCTGCTTGTCTAAGGATTCGCCCTTGAGAAGAACTTCAGCCTTGAGTGCCACAAGTCACAAGTGTGTGATTCCTCACCTTTTATCATGTATCCAGAGAGCAATCTGGGTTCTCACAATGTTTAGTTGCATGCGCAACTCGTCTTCAGAAATCTTGAGCTGAGCATCTGTTGTTCTGAGGGGTAGTTTGTGCTAACCCAAGTCCATGCAAAGCCGGGTAACGTAGCCAATCGCTTCTCAGGAGTGATCCAGCCGCAGCTCCAGCCGCAGCTTCGTTCCTGCAAGCTTGTATCACTCACTCGCCTCCAATACGAAGACAGCATCAAGTCTTGAATGGCCTCAACGGAGCTTGAGACTTGCCGAAAGTTTGCAATTTGCACCTTCTCTTCTTCGCTGTACAAGGAATTATGAATGGGTGGATTGAATACTTTAGCTGTAACAATGAGAATGACTATGAGCAAGAAGGAAGATTTCCCTCGTACATAGGGATCTGTGTACAACATGGGATCAAGGGGTCAGATGAGAGATTTCATGTTGCTCATGAAGCCATGAAATAAAAGAGGCTGCAACATTTTGGCTAACGGGCCCCCTTTGGATGGAGTTGTCACCCATCCTCTTTGATCTCGTATTAAGTGCTGCTTCGCCGCTGTCTACACTGATGAGGGCTTTCTTCAATGAATGATCGCCTATGACAGTATGATGCAGAGGATCTGGCTAAGTAGAGTTCTCATCAAACCGTGGTTGAGGTTGTTTCCCGGGCTATTCAAACTCATGGGTGACGGTATCACTTCCACAGGCTCCTGTGTGCGCCTGCTTCGGCCGCCCTTATTTCTCGGCGGCCAAGGGACTGGAAATGTAGATCGACAAAAACTCGGTCTCGTCCTTGATTGTGATCGATATTTTTTAATGGCAAATTCGATATTGGTACGTCGCTAGCTGACCTAAATCCTGGCTTCGTTCCTCATTTTGCCGAGCGAAAGGTATATGGCAGTGATTCGCGTACATCTCTCGCAGATTGATTGGCCCACAACCATTTAGCATTTCATCTTTATTGCACGACATCTGAGTTATGCGTGCTTGCTTTGCAGCGGCAGCCGGCTCGAGTCTTTGGTCGATTCACCATGTGGCATAGCGCTGAGAGCACTGAGAGTAGCTTGGGGTGCCGCCCCGAACGCCGTCTCATTCTGCATTGTGGTGTAGGACTGGCGGAGAGCGGTAATGAAAGATCAAGAGATTTCAACGAGGGGCACTCGCCGGTGTTTTAATGGGTCACTAGCGTATTTCATCGTTATCAGCCGCCCCAGCCCCTTTTTATGAATCCATCAGCCGCCGTTGCAGCCTTATCTTGGCTGTCGAAAATGCAAAGGCCCATAGCGTTTTGCCGAGACATCAATGCTGCCATGTGGCCATGGCCTTGTGTAAGAGTGTAAGAAGTCCTGGCAGGATGTGATTCTTTCGAACTCTCAGCAGAATAGCACCTATTTTCCCATTTTCTTTAGAGATAACAACCGATGCAAAGCCCCCAACGTTTTTGCTTCCGCCGCAGACAACCATCCAAGGCCCTCTTGAGATACCAAGGATAGTCAGTGGTCTCTGGCAACTTGCTGGCGGGCACGATAAAGAGGTCGATGTCGCTTCGGCTCCAAATATCAGGGACTCACTGTGGCTCATGAATACGCGAAAATACTGTTCAGTATCTGATAGCTGTTATTGCAAGATTCAAGCTCGGACTGGAGGCATTTGATATGGCGAATCATTATCGATATGCAGGTAATTACACCTGCCATGGGCCAGGACACAACGATATTACTAACACCAACGCGGGAGCTTAACCAGAACTTGTCATCGGCTTTCACAACAAGTCCAACAGCCCAGCGTTGAAGACCTTCACGAAACGTTGTTCAGAACGGCGTGAAGACATTCAAAAATGGCGATGAGGCGGTAGACCTGGCGCTTCAGCGAATGCAGCAGACACGACTGGCGTTGCTGGAATGTGAGTATATTGTCCGTTTGGAATCACTTGTCCCTGGGGTTGACCGGATGCTTGAGACCATGCATGGGACTGCAAAGACACCACATGGATCAATGACCGCTGTTATTTGCATACACTGCAAGAAAGGGGCAAGATAGATCACTTTGGCCTCACCAATACCGACGCGGCTCATCGAGAGTTGCTGCTCAACACAGGCTTCAACATTGCGACAAATCAGGTCCCCTGCAGTGTCCTCAATAGCCGCCTCGTCCGCAGCCGTTTGAACAAGTTATGCTTGAAGCACTATTTTAGTAGACAATGCTTGATGGCTTCCTTGGTGAAAAGTGGCCGAACCAGCCTGTGTCTACTAATATGGACAATCCGAATCGGAGCTTGCGCGAATATTTGCGTTTGTCAAAGCCGACGGGGGTTCGCAACCTTTTCAGGCTGTATTGAAAGCCCTAGATCGTTACCAGGTGCCAATATCAGCTGTAGCCACGCGCCACGTGTTGCATAACCCTTCAGTCAACACAGTTACTGTTGGCAGTCGGCTCAGTCCACAGTCCAATGGTGTTGTACTGAATAACCCGCAGGCGCTCTCTTTTCGAACCAGATGAGGAAGATATGACCTGGATGAGTATTGCGCAGGAGGGCCTGAGTCGCCTGACCGACCTACCGGGAGATTTGGGTGATGAATACCGCCGCCCGCCTTACCTTACAGCCTCTGGAGATTGAGCGATCATCTGTAGGAGACATGCGAGCTTGAAGCTGTCGGAATCGCCATCAAGGATGCAAAGAAAGTATGAGTATCTCACAGGAAGTATCTGGAAGCCCATCGCACTGAGTCTCATGCGTTCGAGATAATCGCAGCCGAAAATGTTCGCTGACGTTGCCGAACAGGAATATCGCCGCGCAGTCTGGCCGGGAAACCAGGTTCACGTATCTGGCACGACTGCCAATTCGCTGGTCGCTGAGTTGCCCAATCTAGGTGGAATATTAGCCTTGAGCCAGACTGTTCGGAGTCTTGACACAATCCAGAAACGCTCTGAAGGTATTAGGCTCCTCGATGAGAGACTTGGTGAGAACAAGGACTATGGTACGGAATTCAGAGTATTTTGAGGCAGCTAGTTGAGCTCCCTGATGGACAGTGCGCTGCGAAGGCGCTTTTCAGCAAACACGCTTCTGGCTATTGGCATTATCGGTGACAACATGCTGGTGGAGATGGATGCATGGGCTGAAGTTGGGTCGGGCACTCATGGTGCGTTCAAAATTCAAGCAGAATGAATACAATTAATAGAATAATGCCATGGTCCGCTCAAAGAGAATTAGGCCATATATGCGTGTGATCAACGCTGACTGAGAAGAATGTGGGGGGCTGACACTCTCAGGTTCAAAGTAAGGACGCTCGCCAGCGCTGACTGAGCGAGATCCTATGCGAACTCTAAGATTATGGCTAACATGGTCAGGAGTGGCAGCGTGATGATTGCACCCGTCATCCCAAATAACCAAGCCATTGATGTTTTCCCAATGCATGCGAACCTGAAGATCGTGGTTCTTGAGTACAAGGTCATGCCCAGTGGTCTAATGGCCTAGCGGGAAATGAGTCCGAGTTCTTCTTGAACTTCCTGCTTGATGGCCCATGCCAAAGACACTTCGACATCCTCTAAGTGGACTCTTGTGGATCAGAGAATTGTGTCCTTCAATGGAATCGCCAGTGTTATGGAGGGATCCAGGTGCCTTCGAATAGACCTTGAATCCCTGCCGTTGGGCGGCTTCCTTGAAGGAAGGTTGGGCAATTTTTGTGGTGAGGGTTTCGAATAAAGATCGAAGAGGCTTAGAGATGCGGTCATATCCAATATCTCATGGCCGGAAGCCCAAAGCGTATCTCTGCCGGTCGACGGGAGCTTGATCATACAAAGAGCAGTACAGTCGCTAGGAACAGTCTCGAAAATAATGTCCGAATGCCACTGACGGCCTTGGGTTTGTGCTTTAAGCTGCAAGAATCGCTCTTCGTAGATCTTTGTCATCTGCTGTCAGGATACAACACTGATCTGGGGATCATCGCCTCCAACCTCGCGCTCTGCGTTACCGACAGGTTGAATGTGCAATCTAGAGGCAGAAGGCTTGCCCGTCAGCTCGCCAAGACCCTGGTCAAGCTCCTTTTGCAGCTCGTTGTCTATTCCATCCTGCTTGCAGAAGAATACAAACCCACGCTGCGCGACTTTTGGTTGGTAGTATATCTCGCCGTGATTGAACTTGGAGCGGTGGGCTACTTACTGATGATAGCCAAGTCGCGGAGCAGCGCGTCGGAATTGGGTACTCGCATCCAAGCAGCAAGGTCTATGTCCACATACTCCCGACCGATTCCTGGGGTCATTTCAAAGAACTTGACTTCGTCAAGGGCGCTGTTCAGTTTGAGAGGCTCGACATGATCTGCGAGCAGTGTTGGCGTACCAAGTTCTCCGTCGACAACCTTTCTAAGCTGTTCGGCAGTGGGCGTTGGTAGTTTCCACAGCTGATGGTGACATGTTAACAAGTGAGGGATGGCAAAGTATGTGTTCCTTTGAGCCTGAAGTTTTAGTTTGAGTATGGATCTTTCTCTCAGGCATCAAGAGTCATTCAACACGACTTGAATTGCACCTTCTTTCCGGGGAACTACCCGCGTTTTGTCACGTTGCTGCGTCGGTGGCGAGCGAGTGGACACCGAGACAATTGTCTGTGGAAACTCGGGGGATCCAGCCTGCGCCTCGACGGCCACCGAAGAAGAAAATGAAAAGACCGTCCGCCCTTAGCGTTGCAGAAAAGTCACGTATGGCTTCCGGCCGGCGGATAAGATGAGAAAACGTCGAAGGTGAACCGGCTCAGAAGAAAAGACCGGCGGGCGCAACTTGATGTGGCGACCTGGAAACCACTAGCGACTCCCGAACACCGAGTGCAGATAGCGTTCTCAGTTGTTTAACATTGGTTCAGCACAGATGTGACACAGTGTTGAAGTTGACAATGTGTCAGGCTACGTGGATATCAGTCCGGCGTTCGCCTCGCTTGACGGAGGAGTGTTGTTCAAGATCAGTGGGACAAATACGGTGCGCAATGTTGAATGATTCAGTAAAGATGATCAGCGAGACTACGGACCAGTACAAGGCCCAGAACGATGGCTTAGGGTTTGAACGTCAATACTGAAGCTGCTTCGAAGCTCCAACCTTGTCCAACCACCCAGCCTGTCCACATCGATTGGACTCACGAGGAAGAACGCTGGGCAAAGCGAAAGTGAGAAAAGCAGATCAGCTGTCACGATCAACTCTTTGAAGTCAGGCTAACATATTTCAAGATTCGATTGGATGGTATTTCCACTGCCGGTTCTCGGTTTTTTCTCGCAGTAAGTTGGCCGCGCAAACAGGTAACTTAGCTGTTCCAGCAAGCGCATCTGCTGGATTCACCTGACATATTTCTCTCCTGCAGTGCCCCTGCCTTGAATTCAACTATGCTGAAGACCTGAACCTCAATCGACATATCGTTGTAAACGGTCAGACTTGCCTGTATATCATGATTGCTGCTTTTGAGTTACCCTCGAACCTCCTCCTGCAACATATAGTGTAAAGCTGTGGATTCCCTGCCCAATGAACCTTTGCGGTCTTGCTACTCTACGCGCGGAGACCAAAGGCACAGCCCGCTTCTACGGTCGCCGAATCTTTTTAGGCATTACTGAGGCAGGTTTTATCTCCGGTTCTGTCTGTTACATTTCAACTTTCTATACGAAAATGGACTTGGTTGTCAGAGCTTCATTATTCTAAGTTGGAAGTTATCTGGGTAAGGCCTGCATCATCACTTTGGTCTGATGGCCGCGCTCGACCTCAGATACGCGAACCTTGAACCCTATTTTAGGCTGCTCACCCCACGAGAGGAGCACATCCTCAATAATAGGATCATCATGGACAACCCAGCCAAGAAGAATGCATCTTAAATCCGTGCTGCCTTCAAAGATGTTGTTCGCATCATTGCCAACTGGAGATTATTGACCCTCTTGGTCTTCATCACCACTTATGTTGCTTCTATCACCTGCATGGACACCTACAACTCGCAAATCACGAAATAAATTGACTTCGACACCATCAGAGCAAACCTGCTGGTGAGTGTTGCCACATGTACTGCCATTCCTCTTGTCTTCTTGAGCGGGAAGATGGCCGCTGCCAATGGCAGATATGGCATGTGCATGCCGAATTTCCAGATCCCAGATCGTGTCTTGAGCGATGTCTCTCGCCATCTCCAAGCCGAGGGCGATGCGGGTGTTTGCCCCAGATGTGTAGTCTCCCAGATCTTCATCGCAGTGGCATGCCCTCTTTACATTCAGGGCCTCGTCTGCGTCGCCTCAAACACTCGGACACCTTTTCAACTATCGGTGTACTCTGTTCTTTATGTCGTGTTTACCAACGAATCCAACTCTTTTGCTGCACAAACTTTCTGAGCTGAAGATAAGCCTAAATATCTTAAGGTCTTCATTGAAGTGTTGAGCCTGCATTCCTTCGCCGTTGTGTGGGTAGCGTTTGGCATCTTCGTCTTGTATGCAAAAAAGAATGCGTTGGGTGACGCAGGCTTGCTAGAAGCCACAGCCGAGGTGAAAATTGGAGATGACGACAACGCAGCGGGTATGATGGTCTCAAAGGAGTTCCGATACGTCTACAACAACCGCTTCCCCTGTACTGCTTATTCACACCAGCATCCACCGTTGTACCGATGGAATAATACGGTAGTGTTTCTCCCTTTGTCACTATTAATTAAGTATTGCCACTTGATCCGCATGCTGACGAGAGTAATGTGTTGCGTTGCAATCTTGAGTGCTCATATGATTAGTTGTTTGCAGTAAGGAACGTTGGAGATGAGATAATGCCCGGCTTACATTCAGCCTCTCGTTATCAAATCAACATAAGTATCAAGTGTATGTGTAGGTCGGTCATTTGCGCGTGAAGAGCATCAGCGCTGAACCGCAAATCCTCGAAAATTCCTCTTGGAAAGTATATTAAGATCTTTTGCTCCACCTGCAGTCTAGAAGTTCTCTATGATTGGATCGCAGCCTTGGAGCTCCGCAGGTTTTAATAATACTCTAGTGACTGTTTGTTGCATTATGCTTGTACTAACAATCTGGGAAAAAGCAAGTCTATCACCCAGCTACGACTTCCCTCGTGTTTGTTGATTGGAAGAATTTCGACTTTGAAGCTGGATAACTTGACCTGCTTCCATGATATTGCGCTCCTCTGCCTGTGCCGAGACCTGCTCCTCAACAATCAACGATGATCATGCCTCCGTTGAGGCAATACTGGTCCTCCGGATGGGACAATCCTAGAAGGGAATCCGCCGCACTATCCGTAGTAGCACATAAGAGACACGGATCTATCTCGTGCATCTCCGAGTTATGTCAACCGATGGCGGCGGACAAAAATCGGTGCTTTGATCGTCCAAACTCTGAAGCGAGCCACTCTGATGGGAACAAAGCTGTGGTAGACGGAGTCGTGCAGAATATCACGTCAGCCTGCTGAAGAGTGTCCTGCAGCTGAGCTTGGTGATCTCGCGCTGATAAAGTACTGGAAGCCAGGACAGAGAAGTTCAAAGCGGTTGATAATGGTGATAGCCTGAGATCGCTGTACCACGGAGCACAGGCGCAAGTTGCAGATACCACAGCGCTTATTTGCCAGCGCCAAAGATCACGATACGATCTGTCCGCCTCCGGTGTTGAAGTAACAACGTCGAACGAAAGGCAGTCCGCAACGCTGTGACCTCTGCCGTATTCACGAGTCCAACAGCTACATCCACCCTAACACAGGCCCGGAAGACACCACAGAGACCTTTGGTCTGGTCAACAGCTGCGATCGTCGTTTCAGAGGCCCAGTCGCCATCTTAACGGATGACCCGTGCCATAGAGTTGCAGGCATGAACAGTGTGGTAAGGCCTTCGGGCCTTGCGACTTGCCGAGAACACTGATATTGCTTTTTGTCGGCGGCAAAATACGACAGCATTGCCTCACCTAGTGCCTCCAGCAAAGCCTTCGTCTCTTTGGGTCCTGGTGTAGCCAATATCGCCTTTAAGCTATGGTCAAAGAGAATCATGAGGGCCGTAATGGGCCGTTGCGTTCTGGCCCGGGGTTTCCAACTGAGGTGTTCAATGGATTGCTGCCTCCTTGTCCCGCGAGGCTCTGCTACTTAGTACGCTGCACAATGAAGAGGTACACCCGGCCAGCACTGGAACTAAAGTTGTAGCCCAAACGCGAGTTTGTTGACAGCTGTCCCAAGCTTTCGCCAAGGCAGACGTCGATTTCATCAACGTAAGATTCTTGTCTTCGAGGCACTGGTGAAAGATAACGATAAATTCTCTCAATGTCAAGCCCGGTGGATTATCAGCCGGTGAAATGAAGTCCGGCGATTTCGTAACAGCGCAGAACTTTGGGTTCCATTGGGGTAAGCTACTGAAGGGATTCAAAGTCCCCCGCGGGTCAAAACAGGGAAGAGGGCGATGTACCGGTAAGCGGCGCGCCAAGGGCTTGCGTACGGATTCTAGAGCGATCCGGAGCCGTTGTGCGGGTTAGGCGGCCAAACACATGCCATCTTTCGGGCAGAAAAGGCGGGAGTGAATAGACAGGCGTCGCGAGCTTCGTGCGCAGCAATATGACTGTATCAGAACAAATCAACGAACAGAGCCGAACGGGAAGGGAAAAGGAAGAACAGAAGAACAGAGACGAGAAGAAGCACTCAGAAGGCAGGCAGAGCACGGTAACCGGGGGACAATCCACCCCGCAGGACGGCGGCGGGGTGCCTCCCAGCAATGTTGACTTGGACCTTTCAAAAGGTGACCTCTGCAGCCTTTAGCGGGGGCCGGAGTCGAAAATGACTTGGCAAGAATACGGGGAAGGCTGGCTTATTGGGATAAAAAAGGGTCTGGATGGTCAAGGTGGCTCCATGAAAAGCATTGCTCGGAATGAATGCTCCCAAAGTCGTGTCTCTCAAACACTTGAAGGCGCAATATGCTCAAGTCTCGCGCACTTTTATCATCACGACAACGTCGTGACTAGTACCGCACGACTCAACATACCAGGAAGTTCTCGGGCAAAACGACTTTCGTGACAGTCTTTGTAGACTTTCGTCAACACCCCAAAGCTGGCACCTCAGAACAGACCCACGCTGCTTTCGAGTACCAACCATACAGGGACAGCACGGCATTGAAGGACAGCTGCGGCAGAAAGATCTGTCACTGACATTTGCCGCTTTCCTGTAAAAACCGGAATAGCTGAGGAGAAATCGCAATCCCTCGCTGACCTCATGCTCTCGCATTTCGGCGAAATGGTCCGGCCTCGTGACTGAGAGTCCACTTTATTATTAACGTCAGACCTGA